GTAATACTAAACAATAATACACAAGTAACTTCGTTGAATAAACTTGAGACAATGCTAGCTTTACGCTAGCTATTCCGCCCATCATGCTACAGTGCAGGAGTTATATCTATGGGTCATCTAATAAGGTCAGCAGGGGTCCTCTAATAAGGTCAGCAGGGGTCCTCTAATAAGGTCAGCAGGGGTCCTCTAATAAGGTCAGCAGGGGTCCTCTAATAAGGTCAGCAGGGGTCCTCTAATAAGGTCAGCAGGGGTCCTCTAATAAGGTCAGCAGGCGTCTAAACGTTACTGCTGCTAGGCTTAGTCTCTGCTGCATGTATCGAACCACGGGAGTGTTAAGGCCACCACAATAGCTTACTGACCAACCTGTAAGTATGTTTTAGCTCTCAACATGGTTTAGATTGTTGTTCTTTTCCATTCAGCTACTCTGAAGAAAAAGTTGCAAGTAGCACGGGCTATGGAGAGCCCACAGTGGACTTACCTGACACAGGAGCGGGGCTGTAACTCTAAATAGTCCTTAAACATTCTCATGGTTTAGGACTAAAGTCAGTCTATATACACCGAGAAACTGGGTACAGCTCACTGTGATCACCTGCATATGATCTACCCAAATGTTGCTCCATCACTATATAAATGAGTTAAAAAAAAATGCTAGAACACCATCTGGTCACCACTTGGTCCGGGAGACATCTCCCGTCACGCAGGGTGCATTCGCACCTCCACAGATCTCCATTATCAGCTCTTGATACTGATAATGGCTCAAAAGGGCCACCACTTACGGGCTATTCATGCCCGTGCCACCTTTTGGGTGGCTTAATCTTCATCAAATGCTAGAAATTAGAGACAACTCTCATCACTTCTATTCAAGAAATGTCCCATATATTTAATACGGGATGACATATTACCCGAAGCTCGAGCCAAATATCTGAAGTTTCGTAATTGTCGATAGTGCACACATTATCTGGAAGCTTGCTCTGGAACTTTAGTAAGGTTGACCAGACCACACACTAGAAATTGAAGGGACGACGACGTTTCGGTCCGTCCTGGACCATTCTCAAGTCGATTGTGATGAGGACAGGTAGGGACAGGCATTAAATTATTAATAAAATAGGCATTCCTATTACCATCTCCTTCGGTGGTTATAATAGGACCTGCCTCGTATGGGCCAATAGGCCTGCTGCAGTTCTCATTACTACTATCCCCTACACCTGACTTTCCTCCTAAGCTCTCTCTTGCCTTTTTAATGCCTGTCCCTACCTGTCCTCATCACAATCGACTTGAGAATGGTCCAGGACGGACCAAAACGTCGTCGTCCCTTCAATTTCTAGTGTGTGGTCTGGTCAACATACTTCAGCCACGTTATTGTGACTCATCGCCTGCATTTAGTAAGGTTGTTGAGATAAACTAAGTATACGTATTGTACAATTAACAAACTGTGCAAGCAGTTCGTCAACACTGTAACTTACTTAGCTAAGTTAGCACTGGGTTTCGATACATTGTGCTCTTCTACAAAAGATGCGTAGCCTATGAGTGCATAATAATTAAATTTTAACCCACAAAATCGGGTGAAAAGTGACATTAGTGCTGACTGATCGTATTAGTTCAAATTATCATTAATTAGCTATATCCGCAGCCCATTACGATCTCACGCTCCAAGATATGTAATTCTTTTACCTAACCAGAACGAGGCCGATGTTCAATATATGTCAATAATAATGTTTACATTTTTATCATTACTTAACAATTTTGACGGACTGGTCAATTCCGTTAAAAATGCAACGTATTCAGTGAGAATCCAAGCGAGGTAAGGTAATATCAGAAGAAAGTACTACACCATTACGACAATATAGCACTTGGAAACATTAAGGGGATAAGGATTTAAGATAGGACGGAGGAATGTTGCCCAACCTTTTGGATGGTGGGAAACTGAACGCCGACCTGCAAGATGCGAGATCATCGCTCTACCGTTCAGTCCAAGTTGTTGGTTGAGACACCAGGCAAGATACCGCGTTAAAATATACTGTCTGATGTTACATAATGAAGTCGTGGTCGAAATTATGCTTCGCCATTGTTAATACCAGCTGCATGTTTTGTTTCCGGAAACAAGAAATATACATACAAAGAGTTGTACATTACTTTTTAGACGAAAAGCCAACAGTGTACTTGCCGTAGGCTGCTCAGCAAACTATTGCGATGGCGTTAATAACCCTCCAGTAGTTGATCGGCTCTAAACCTTTAAGGCTAGACAAGGTGCTAGACAAGGTGCTAGACAAGGTGCTAGACAAGGTGCTAGACTAAAGGTGCTAGACAAAATTCAAGATAAGTCTATGCATCTAGTACGAAACAAAGTTAATGTACTTCACCCAATGTCTTGCATGCAGGGGCATGGTTAGAGAATCCTATAGTTAAAAAAAATTGCATACCTCGCATTTAGCTTCTCTCCAAGTCCATCCCCCAAGAATAAATTATTAAACAAGTGGTGTGACATGTAACAATCTGAGCAATGTTTTCTTTCCATAAACAGAACAATTTCGACTCTTACCGCACGAAATGCGCTAAATTATGGAATGCATTTTGGCATCTGGTTGGTGACTTCAGCAATTTTATGACCTTTTAAGTGTATGGTTAATAACACAATAGTATTCAATTCTCTCCCCTCCCCATCCCCCGTTGCTTCAGATAATACATGTATAATAAGTGTGCGGCTTTAGCATGCAAGTCTAAAAGTAAGCTCAAGTGACGTATAAAAATCCCAAATCAAACCAAAATTCAGAAACTTTCACATTTTAGATGAACCACCATTGACGAGGCTCTGTTAAAGTATAATCAATTAACCTGATTGTCACAAACCCTTAAAACCTATTATCAATAGGCGGATAATCGAGGCAGTTTTCCTCAATTCCCTTATGGCTATTACCACCGAAATTGTTATAAAGACTTGATCATATCAAATTACGATTAAGTGTTGACTAGGCTCAATAAGCTGACGCAGCCTAATTTTGTGTGTGTCTTATCCAGCTGCAAAGCGAGACCTCGTTTCAAGATATATGAATGCGTTTAAATATTTGATCTTGAGGTCAAAGAATAGATTAGTGTGAAGGTTCAGTATATCTTACACTTACCTTGTGTAATCTCCCGACGTGTCGTCCGGCTCCTGGTGGCGGACTCTTGGCTGCTTTCCTATTAGGCTTCAGGCCTAATATACTTAAAGCAAGTCTACTTCTCTTCGAAACATACTCCAGGATTAAAGTATGCTCTCGGTGTATATACACAGCAATGGGGGTACACGTCACAGGGTGTATATATATATATATATATATATCTATATTCCTAGGGGCGTGTCAAGTATAAATTCATTTGTATACGTGGTAGAAGCTGGTGTCAAGCTTGAAAGCGAAAACACGGTTGGGTTCGTCATCCACTTAATTAAAGAGTCGTCTTTAATTATTTTCGGGTACACTGTACACAGTAGAACGCTAGACACTGACAACTTACACACACACACGTCACCGCACGTCCCCAGGCTCACGACTGGCCGTCCTCAAGACGTTGGCCAGATGCTCGTCAATCCCCAGAGCTGCCAACCTCTGCGCTGCGACCGTCCCCCCCAAAAACACGTATTCAGCTATTTTAATGAATTGTGTATTAAAAATGTTTGCTTCCATAAATAAATTAATATTATCATATACTAAAGCTTTCACCTAACTATGTATAGTTAGGTGAAAGTTAGGTTAGGTGTTTTAGGTTCTGTTTACGTTGGTGATGCATTAACAACGTTGGGATTCAACAAATTTTCAGCGACTCACTTTTTGTGGATATGTTTGAACGTTATCAGTTGTGAGTCGTTTGTATTTTTTTTTATTCATGAACAGGGGGTTTGGGGGGCTGGATAAGCAAAATTTGGCATTTGTTGATGAGGACGCAATCCATCCTTAGACCAAGTCCATTCCATCTAGCGGTCGACCCCAAAGATACATTCACAAATTTTAACATGCTGTTAATTCAAAACGGGAATTTTCTCAATTATAAATTAATATTATATTATATTAGCATATTGTGCATATATAGGCATAGGTTAGGTTAGGTTTTTAGGTTCTGTTGGCGATTATTTGTATTTGTAATTCGTGGGTGAAGCATTTATAGCGTTGTGGTTCGAACAAAATTCGTCAGTTTTGTTCCGGAAGTGTTCGAACGAAATCAATTGTGAGCCGTGTGTAAACCGTTTTTCATTCATAAACAGGGGGTTTGGCGAGTGCATGGACTCACTTTTGGGTCTTTGTTGATGTCAAGCTGCTGTTAAAGTTATAAAATCATTAACACAGTTACGTGACCAGTATGGCTAATGAAACCACCTCCTGTCCCATGAATTACACGATAGAACTACTGGAACCTCTCTGACTACCTTTATGGCCAAAATGAGTTACTCTTCAGAGATGTTTGTTTTCTATTATTTAAAGTATTATTTGTTATTGTCTTAAATGACCCGCTTGAGTAATACACCTCATTAGGTAGAAGTAGCACTCAAAGGGTTATTGACTTTGATGCATGAAGAACATCATAATGGCATTCTTAGAAGTCCTTGACAGCATTGATTCCTGTATCCATATATCGAATCATTGACGAGCATTTGGAGAACGTTTTGATTCCTTCATTCAGGATGCAGCCTGGACGGAATCGACGTATTAGTTCACACAGATCGACAACTAGCCGGTCGGCCGAGCGGACAGCACGCTGGACTTGTGATCCTGTCGTCCTGGGTTCGATCCCAGGCGCCGGCGAGAAACAATGGGCAGAGTTTCTTTCACCCTATGTCCCTGTTACCTAGCAGTAAAATAGGTACCTGGGTATTAGTCAGCTGTCACGGGCTGCTTCCTGGGGGTGGAGGCCTGGTCGAGGACCGGGCCGCGGGGACACTAAAAAGCCCCGAAATCATCTCAAGATAACTAAATGATAAATCTTTTTCAACGCAAAATTAGGATTAATTAGGTCAATTATACTCTTGGTAGGTGTGTAGGATTTATTTAGCTTAGGAGAAATTGGGCTAGGTTATAAGAGATTTATTTAATTCATGTTTGAAAAGATGAGAACCATCGTAAGTAATATTACATTTAATTTAGTCGGTGCAAGTTTGGCTAAGTTTTTATAAATTGTTTGTTATTAAACATCTTTAATCTAATTATACCCAAATCAATATATATATATATATTTTTTAGAAACAATTATATATCATATAAAATTAGACGAGAAAATTACCATAAACACAAACGTATCACACTAAATACCCATAAACATTCGGTAATTAAGAAAAAATAGCACTATTGATAACTTCGATAACCGCTAATTACAAAAACATAGAACCTATTATATATATTTTTGTCCGATGATATCCTAAATTTTTAAATTTTGCCCCGAGGGGCGAGTTTATTGGGCAGTGCCACTGATGATATCCTTTATCACAACCATATTCATTACATCTACTCACCATTATTATCACCAACAACAACAAAATTGCTTTCCTTAATAACCAACTAAGAGACTATAAGCAGACTTGAAACTGTACGGTGAATCTACTTATAAAATGCTGCACAACATAGTAGCTGGAGAGATTATATTCAGCATATGTAGTTTACCATGTTGCTGTATTACTTCAGAGTGTAATTGATCACAATATTTCCGTGTCATCAATATTCGCTAGATATGTTTCGACATTCTTGATCATCATGTATTTTCAAACATCATGACTCGGCTCGTGTCTTCTACTCCCTATCCCACTACCAGAAGTGTAAAAAATATAACTAATAGTCTATCCTAGCGCTAGGAGTGTATGTACGTATAGAGAAATTGTGCAAAACTCTCCTATGCACTTCCATCAGTATACATCTACTTTAAAAAACCTAGCGAGATCGGATTCTTTCCTCCATCCTCTTATAACTGTGATCCTGCCATGTTAATGTATTAAAGACAACTGATAAAAAAGTGTGGCAAGGGATGTTTATAAAAAGGATTTCCTGCCCGCAACGCTTTGCGTAATAGTGGCTTTAGGCATTGTATGTACTAGCTCTATCTATAAATCCATCAATGTTTGTATCTCACCTTGTATGTATGTACTTTACCTGAATAAACATTTGATTTGATTTGATTTTTAAATTATACTTGCTGACATTACACACATAGATCACACTAATCTTTTTATGTTTGTTTATCACACTAATGTTTGTTTGTTTATACTTGCTGGTTGGTCAGGAAGCTATTGGGGTGGTCTCCGGAAGGTAATAGGCCTTAAGACCAACACCTAACTTAAGTAGATTTGTTATTTACAGGCGGGAAAAATCACCTCGTTATAGACCATCATAAAGATAAACTTCAATTTCAAACATTTTTATCCACACACATTCTGTGTCATCGTCTTCCGTGAAACTATTTCACTAAAGTTGAAAAATTACATAAATATTTAATGTGTCTGATCAGCCTCGGTAAGACCAATATAATGACACTAAGGCTTTAATTATTACTCATTATGGCGTTTCGTTTTCTTATTCTTCTTCAATCAAGTGCGGGACTCGAAGCCTGATTGGCTCATAGGCCCCGCCTAAATGGTGCTCATCCACTTGAACAGTCGGGAATTGAACGCTAACCTGCAAGAAGCCAGACCGTCGCTCTACCGAGCCGTCCAAGTGGTTGGGATGGCATTTCGTTTTAACTGTATTATCAAATCTAGCTTTCTATTGATCATCTTAATTTAAATAATAGCACTTATCAAATTTTTAAGCCCAGTTGTCTAAGTGCTGGAACAGTTAGTAATTGTGAATATAAGTCTATATTGTTCCAAAATCTAAAGCCTCAGTATAGTTATCATACAAGGCCACATCATCATGCACATAATAATTTATGAAGATCAATACTTACAGGTATAGATGCTAGACCTGTATGGTTTCTTAGTAAACGTAAATAAGACCATCATTATTACCATTATTCCCCCACGAAAATACATAATTTCCTCGATACAGCATGGAAGGCGGGCAGTGGATGAGCTGGGGACGGAATTAGGGGTAGTATGGGATACCCTCGGGGGTGTCATCGGCAGGAACTGGTGCACAGGTAATCATATCAACAAATAAAACGTGTTGAGGAATGCATGCTGAGAGGAGGGGGTAGCCTGAGGTACAGTGTAGGCAGGAGGATTATTTAACTAGTGAAGGTTGGGTTGTTTTGGCTGTGAGTTAATGAGAACCGGTATGGGAGAGAGGGAGTGGAGGAATGCAAAAAGATGGAAGCACATTAAAGAAAGAGGGAGGGACAAAAGGTTGCATCAATACGTGAACCATTGGACGGACTGGACAGTGAACATAGCGAACAATGGACGGAGCATTACAGTATAAATGTAGACAGCGTGGCCCAGAGATCCGGCACTGACGATGACAGTAAGGCCAGCCCAGCCTGTGGACGGGCGTTTGAGTGGCAGAGGACGTTAGGGTGATAACAATTCCGGAAGGGCTGTAGGAATCTTTGACGTTGGATCACTCAGCACTGGGCGAGGAGGTAAGCAGGAGGTGTAGAGGGGTAGGACCAACTAACTGCTGGATGGTAGGGACTGTGGACAGGTTCTGGGTGGCTTCTGAGGTCACACCGCCCTGGGTGAGGAGTTGAGGAGGAGGCACTGGTTGGGCTTGGCATGGGCGATGAAAAGGGCATCAAAGATGAGGCTGAGGCAGAAGAGGACAGGCGAGAGGACCAGAGGAGCCCAGTGATACCAGGACCACCCGCTCACCCACACCAACCTGCATACACACACACACCTTGTTATTGCAGACCACATATGGCTTTTTGAGAGGTGTTGCAAGAGAAGTTATGGGTTACACAACAGGCAAAGGTATGCAAGGTAGTAATGAAAGTATGAAGGCGGTGATGGATTAATGCCCGAAACGCTTTGCGTAATAGTGGCTTTAGGCATTGTATGTACTAGCTATACCTATAAGTCAAACAATCCTTGTAAATATTTATTGTATGTATGTACCTTACCTAAATAAAATTGTATTGTATTGTATTGTATAAGAAATCAAAATGGGCCTGATGGATTAAGAAATCAAAATATATAGCCTGATGGATTAAGAAATCAAAATGTATAGCCTGATGGATTAAGAAATCAAAATATATAGCCTGATGGATTAAGAAATCAAAATGTATAGCCTGATGGACTAAGAAATCAAAATGTATAGCCTGATGGACTAAGAAATCAAAATGTATAGCCTGATGGATTAAGAAATCAAAATGTATAGCCTGATGGATTAAGAAATCAAAATGTATAGCCTGATGGATTAAGAAATCAAAATGTATAGCCTGATGGATTAAGAAATCAAAATATATAGCCTACACAAGTCAAACGTTAGCAGACGATTAATCTAAACGATGATATTTGTTTATGAAGACGCAAACTAGTATTTGTTTAAAATGTATTAACCGTATTAGCCTATGGCATTACTGTCATTTACTGATGATTAACAGTGATTAACAGTGGGGGCTGGGGTACTGTAGCAATGATTATATGTTCTCGGCTCACAATCGGTGATCCCGGGTTCGATCCATGGGCTTGTCAGATATGGGTGAGGTATGCTTCCTTGTACCTAATGCGTCTGTTCACCTAGCAGTAAATAGGTACCCCGGAACTTAGGGAGTTCAACCTGTTCTCTTGATTTGCCACAAGGAGCAACATAAGGGGGGAATACTAAAACGCACGAACCCAACCCACCCACCTAACCTAACCAACCTACGCACAGAAAACGTGGGTATTTGTGAACCCTACATTTCATAGTACCCATTTATTTTGTATGTTGGGGACCATGGCATACAAAATGAGACGGATTAGTTGAGAGAATGGGTTGTTGTCTGGCCGGACACTGACCATTCTAATTCATTCTCCTTGATAACTACCCTCTGAGAATATTAATAATAATAATCACACTGAAATCACATTAACGTGATATATATCAATGAGAAAATTCACTAGGGCAATGAGGTGGGTGCGAACCTGCGAACTTTGCATTGTCAAGCCGCATACTCTACCACTAGACCACCACTGACTTGTAGAAAGTTATACAGCCGGATTTCTACTGAAATTATAGGACGTCTGGAAGCCCCTACTGAAACCTGTCCAGGTTTTACGTATGACCCACAAGCCCTAGCGGTGGAAGAGCAGAGTGGTCCCCACACCTTACACCCCAACTTCAGAGAGCAGTGAGTTTCTGAAGTTGGGACGTAATTTCAGTAGAAATCCGGCTGTATAACTTTTAAGAGTCATTGGTGGTCTAGTGATAGATTATGCGGCTTGGCAATGCCAAGGTCGTTGGTTCGCGCCCACCTTATTGTCCTAGTGAATTTTCTCAATAATAATAATAATAATTTTTATTTATACAATGTACATACATTTGAAACACGAGGCAGTGAAATATTCGTAGGTACACAGTAAATTATATATAAAGCCACTAATACGGAATTTTTGTATGAGTTTAACAACTAGTGAAGTTAACTGGTCAATAATCACAATATTATTGTAATACAATACAAACAAACATACAATTATACAAATGTGTATTATTGCACGTAATAACTATTCTGAATTGAACTATTCTGAATTTACTGAATTCAGTAAATCTGAATTGTGGAGTGTGTGCTCCACAATTCAGATTTCTTTGCTTCCTTTAATATTTTGTATAAAATTTGGTCAGGACCATCAATTGTATTTTACTTTGTTATTATATTCATTAAAAATAAATCCTTCTCACAAATATTTATTGACAGAACAGAGTTTTCGTTACTGTCGAGCAAATAAATTTAAACGGAATTATTTTGCTTCTGATGAAACTATAAAATACATTTGAACTTGCTTTCCTATTTTCATAGAACAGAGAGAAAAAAAAGGAGGGAAAGGTAAATGACATAAGATGTCTTATATGTCCAGGAAAAGGAAAAGGTCAAAGTTTCTAGCAACAAAAACAAATATTTTTAAATTGAAATGATTTATATACACCATGTTTGGCATCTAAAATTTGTTTGTTAAGACCAAAAAATAATACTTTTAACATAGGCCAATTGCCTGTTGAGGCAAAAAATGTTCTAGACAGGTAGAGAAAATGAAATCACAATAACTATTAGGGGAAAGGAAGAAAGTTTTGAAACAGAAAAAGCACATAATGAAAGGTGTACTCAAAGAGATAAAGCAGAGTTCGAAACAGTTCACTGGATGCAGATATTGATACAGACGAGAAAAAATGGGTTAGATCAGGAATCAAAGATGATGCAAAGACTTTGCAGTTAAGTCTAAATACGGGAGAAACGGATATGGTCAAATAGTTCACAAGACAGTTCAACAAAGCTCGTTTCCCCATTAACAAAACCGTATATATAGTATAGTTGGGATGTATTAGCTTTGATTAGGCTGGGATAGGTTAGGCTAGGCTGGGATAGGTTAGGCTAGGCTGGGTTAGGTTAGGTTAGGCTGGGTTAGGTTAGGCTGGGTTAGGTTAGGCTGGGTTAAGTTAGGTTGGGTTAGATTAGGCTGGGTTAGGTTAGGTAAGGTTCGGTTAGGTAAGGGAGATTTGGGTAAGGTTAGGTAGGTTAAAAAAACCCGCCAGCCAACCGTCATGTGTACAATGTAGCTTAATTCGAGAAGAAAACCCACAGTACCCACCATATAGCCAGCAGGATCATCTCCTCCACGAGGGTCATGACGTGATACAGGAGGTTCTGGGTCCTGGCTGCGATGCCGCCCACGTCGATGAAGGTGAAGAGGAAGACAAGACCCATCACGGCGCTGTAGAAGACGTCATCGAGCCAGTGACAGAGGCCCCGCTGCCGGTCGTGGGAGAAGAAGGCCCTGGTGCAGGTGGTCCGCGGGAAGCACAGCAGCTGCCGCGGCGTAAAGTTGAAAGTAAAATTGAAAGAGTAATTAGGTTATGCGCCCCATACCCATTCCGTGGCTGAAATGTTGCAGTCTTACAATGTATTCAGGAGCTGGACTAAAATGTTCTTTAATCTACGAAATTTTTATTTGTGGTCATGAGTTACATCTAGTTCTTAGTTAAGCGATAATGCGCCCCCGCGCCTATACAGTAGGCTTCGGGGGGGAAAGGGCGTGGAGTAGACCCATGCACGCACGACCTACAATAGGCAAACTTGAGATACTATGCTAAGATTTCTGGAAGATATCTGGTAGTGCAGACACATAATTAAATATATGCTTATTCTATGGTTGTAACACCTACTGTAATCAAAACTAATTATTTCTACAGATCACTGACAAATATCAAATTATATATATATATATATATATATATATATATATATATATATATATATATATATATATATATATATATATATATATATATATTAGTATATTTTGGTAGCAGTCTTTCCTGTAGACATATATTATTAAATATGACCGAAAAAGTAAGATTAATAATTCTAACACGAATTTTCTCAATCTTTCGTACATTTCTTTTCACTGTTGGAGGTAAATCAAAAATCAATTCTCCAAAATTCATTTTTATTTCTAGTCTGACGCGACACGAGCGCGTTTCGTAAAACTTATTACATTTTCAAAGAATTTAGTTCACAAATACACAACTGAATAGAACTTACGCATCTCCGATTTTATATCTACATTTGAGTGAGGTGGAAGGGGTGATGTGGCATTAACACAAGACAGAACAAGATGTGGCATTAATAGGGTATTAATTTCATCAACACAAGACAGAACAAGAAGTGGTATTAATAGGGTATTAATTTAATCAACACAAGACAGAACACGAAACAATGGATATAGAATGGAAGTGTTTGTAGAAAGCCTATTGGTCCATATTTCTTGATGCTTCTATATTGGAGCGGAGTCTTGAGGTGGGTAGAATATAGTTGTGCAATAATTGGCTGTTGATTGCTGGTATTGACTTCTTGATGTGTAGTGCCTCGCAAACGTCAAGCCGCCTGCTATCGCTGTATCTATCGATGATTTCTGTGTTGTTTACTAGGATTTCTCTGGCGATGGTTTGGTTGTGGGAAGAGATTATATGTTCCTTAATGGAGCCCTGTTGCTTATGCATCGTTAAACGCCTAGAAAGAGATGTTGTTGTCTTGCCTATATACTGGGTTTTTTGGAGCTTACAGTCCCCAAGAGGGCATTTGAAGGCATAGACGACGTTAGTCTCTTTTAAAGCGTTCTGTTTTGTGTCTGGAGAGTTTCTCATGAGTAGGCTGGCCGTTTTTCTGGTTTTATAGTAAATCGTCAGTTGTATCCTCTGATTTTTGTCTGTAGGGATAACGTTTCTATTAACAATATCTTTCAGGACCCTTTCCTCCGTTTTATGAGCTGTGGAAAAGAAGTTCCTGTAAAATAGTTTAATAGGGGGTATAGGTGTTGTGTTAGTTGTCTCTTCAGAGGTTGCATGGCTTTTTACTTTCCTTCTTATGATGTCTTCGACGAAACCATTGGAGAAGCCGTTGTTGACTAGGACCTGCCTTACCCTACAGAGTTCTTCGTCGACTTGCTTCCATTCTGAGCTGTGGCTGAGAGCACGGTCGACATATGCGTTAACAACACTCCTCTTGTACCTGTCTGGGCAGTCGCTGTTGGCATTTAGGCACATTCCTATGTTTGTTTCCTTAGTGTAGACTGCAGTGTGGAAACCTCCGCCCTTTTCCATGACTGTTACATCTAGAAAGGGCAGCTTCCCATCCTTTTCCATCTCGTAAGTGAAACGCAGCACGGAACTCTGCTCAAATGCCTCCTCAAATGCCTCCTGCAGATGTCTGACATCAGGTACCTGTGTAAAAATGTCGTCAACATACCTGCAGTATATGGCCGGTTTCAAGTTCATGTCGACTAAGACTTTTTGCTCGATGGTACCCATGTAGAAGTTTGCAAACAGGACACCTAGGGGAGAACCCATGGCGACCCCATCTACTTGCTTTTTCGGTCATATTTAATAATATATATATATATATATATATATATATATATATATATATATATATATATATATATATATATATATATATATATATATATATATATAGGAATTAGGAGGACAAGGTGACTTACCTGTGTGAGAAGTTAGGACATGAGGAGCCAGTTGTCTGAGTAACATATCCTAGTGAGGACCCAGGAATTAAGATACGAGAAGTCAGGGCAGTGAGTGACCTACCTGTATGAGTATCCATGAGGACATGACGAGCCAGTGGACGGTGACAGTGATGAAGAATGCCACCACCAGCTTGGAAGCAAACAGCGAGAAACTCATCACCTACAACACAAATACCTTATATTGTTTATCGTGTGTTGCTCACCAAATCACTGTATTTTCCACTAGCAAATATTCCATGCAGATATAAAATGATTTCATCCGAGCTCCGGAAATTAAATTTTTTGTATAGAATTGCATTATACACAAGTTAAACTTAATGTAGATTATTTATTTACATTATATATATATATATATATATATATATATATATATATATATATATATATATATATATATATATATATATATATATTGGTCAGTCTGGTGTTGACAAAGGCTTTAACAAGCCGAAACGTTCACCTCATTTCATATTTCTCTGTGGATTTTCCGCATATATATATATATATATATATATATATATATATATATATATATATATATATATATATATATATATATATATATATATACTAACTTGCCTAAACCACAAGTTTGAAGTTAACAACTTTGGACACACACACCAGGAGACTTGAACCAACACAGATGCTTCACAACACTGGCATAGTAGGTACACACTAAACCAACTGCATCACACACAGAGCCTTAAAAGAGGTGGAAATTCTGGGGTATTCTTAATCCCATAATCCCGTAATCTTTTAGCCCATCTAGAGCCCGTAATCTTTTTTGCGGGCTCACCATAGCCCGTGCTACTTGGAACTTGTTCTGAGTAGCTGAATCTATAACAACAACAACAACTGGGGTATTTAACCCCCATACAATCGAAAAGCGACGTTCTTTGCAGGAGGACAGGTTGAGATAACAAGATAACACCTTTTGACATCATGAACACTACATACCGCAGCATGAAACTAATCACATAACTCTCATGCTCAGTTTCCTCCTAAATTAAGAACACACACACAATATATAATTAAGATACTAACAAGGTCGGTGTTTTCTATGAATCTTTTTAAGGGTATCTATTATGTTAAGTATGTCACTTATGCACATATTTAATAAGTCAATATTGACTTATTAAATTTGCGAGAACGGGTTGTTCAGTTACAGGAAGTGATGCTATTATTCATCATCCTATGATTTTTATAGGGTTTTTATATAGGCTTTTATTAATAGGATTAATAATAATATTAACTCACCTTGCAAGTTAAAACTGTTGGCTATTCTTGGAGCACTCAAAATTATTATATAAAAAAAGCTGCAGGACACAGCTTAATCATCTCTGACTCTCGTTCCTCATTACTAGCAATACATAATTTACAGTCAAATTGTATCATGCTTGTCTCCGGTGCCAGGCATAGATATATGTGGGTATATATGGGGGAATGTAAGGGGAGTCACATTCAAGTTATTGTGGATCACTCTCACATTGGCCTGCAGGAGCCTGATAATGTTAACGCCTTTCCTAAGCTTACAGTAAATAAAGACAGTGTTGAAAATAATCTTCGACTATCAAATAAACTCTCAAAAGTGCCATTAATCGAGAATTTTCAGTGAATATATATCTTGACGCAGACATATACAATATACGAACCCGTTCTCGCACTTTCTTATAGTCAATATTGACTTATTAAATACGTGCATATGTGACATACTAATTTATTGTGAATATTTTAGTTTATCTTTAAAAGCTTCATAGAAAACACCGACCTTACCTAACCTTCTTAGTATGTTAAGATAAGCATCTTATTGCTTCGTAATTACAATTATTACTTAACCTATACCTATAATTGGTTAAGTAATAATTGTAATTACGAAGCAATAAGTTGCTTCGTAATTACAATTATTACTGATACTATTATTACTGATACTGGATGATACTAATCCAGACCACTTCTATAAAAAGCTCCAATGTAACTTACAAAATAGGCGACAGCTTTAAGCTCGACAAGCCACAATGCAGGACAGAAAACTGATGATGCTTTTTCACCCATAGGGAAATAAACCTATGGAACCGCCTACCTGCCGAAGCCGTAAATGCCAAGACAACAAACACTCCAGTTGAACAAATCCACAGGGGCCGTGACGAGGATTCGAACCTGCGTCCGAGAGCATCCCAGACGCTGCCTTAATCGACTGAGCTACGACATGGTCAAAAGATTTGACCATGTGGATTACGGCCCTTGTGGATTTCTTCATTTGATGCATCACGCAATTGTGATTTCTGTGTGTAAACACAGAAATTCAGCTGAATTCAAAATTCAACTGGAAAAAGTTCCCCTGGAATAATAAGGGAACCTTTGACAAGCCACCAGCTTCCTGTAACCGTCGAGGCCATTTAGAGATGGCGTCCCTCAGGTAAATTCAAATGCATTGCAAGTTTGATTTAGTTGCAGAGAAAGTTGACTTTATATTTCCAACAATCAAGAACATTATTATCGAGCGCCGAGGGACCAGCACCTCACATAGAACCCAACCCCAAAATAAAATCAATAATAATAATAACAATAAATCATAGTACAAATTTATCACATTGATAACCGACAAATGACACCAAAATTAATAAAAATATAACAATAATCAAATAAAAGTCTTCGTTCGCTAATGATTGTAGGATTGTAGTGAGTGCGGCAGGTGGAGGAGAGGCCGCCCGGCCCACTCACCTGACGGGCGATGGAGCAGAAGTGGGAGAGGGTGAGGAGCAGGAGGTCCAGGATGCTGAGGTTCCCCAGTGAGGGCTCCGTCAGGCGGCTGGCTCGCACGAACGACGCCACCGACCACGCCAGCGTCAGCAGAGACATTGTTACCGACAGCAGCTGCATCACCACTGTAGAGAGAGAGAGAGAGAGAGAGAGAGAGAGAGAGAGAGAGAGAGAGAGAGAGAGAGAGAGAGAGAGAGAGAGAGAGAGAGAGAGAGAGAGAGAGAGAGAGAGAGAGAGAGATATTTCATTGTGTTTGAGGGCTTTGCGCCCTTTTTCCACCCCTTATTATTGTAACAATTAAATATAAACAACTTTCCAGTTCCGCTCCCACATAATAGTTCCTAAAGTAGAGGAATATCCACTCTTTACAGGTAAATAGTCACAATAACGTATCTAAAGTAAGTTGACCAGACCACATGTCGTCCCTTCACCTTCTAGTGTGTGGTCTGGTCAAAATCAATCCACTCTTTAACTGGCGAATAATATGGGCAAACCTTTATGTTAAATTTTTTGCCCCATAACAACGTGAACTATTGTAACACTATATTCATGAGACCTTCCCTACAAATGATAGGTTGTTGATGTTGGGCACTGAGGACAACAAAAGGTGTGACCAATGTACTGAAATTGAGAATAATATGCATCTATTTTTATTTCTGTAAGCAGAAATTTGTTCTTGTAAACTGGATTACAGACACTCTTAAACCTTTATGTGGACCAAGCATTAGTGTGGAGTTAATGAGGATTTTAATGTTTCATATTGACATAAAATGCAAGAAAATTAAGAATACAACAATTATGTTACTTTCTGATTACATTTGTTGTGTGTGGATAGACAGGCAGAAGGGTTACTCAGTAGACAGAATATTGAAGTTCTTGCGAGGCAGGATCATATATAATGATGCTGCCTCGGGGTTTACGGCTCATGCTCTATGATGATATGAACAAATTGTTTACTGAGAATTATATAAACTATATATAATGTAGCATTTTCCCCTCGTACATTGATGTAAATATGATTTTTATATTGTATCTTATTTAATAAAGAAAAAAACAATTCCAGTGAGGTAAGAGTCCAGCTCTGTCCTCAACATCACGGTAATTGAATACGAGAAAATATAATCAATTTGGAAACAAGTTTTAAAGCAAATTTTACCTGCTGTAACTAATTTATCATTAATGTTAACTTTCTTAGGTAATAGAACACTGAGGTCCACTTCCGTAACCCATTATATCTGTAATCCTTCATCCACCGCTCACTAAGACCATTAGAATAATGGTGAGATATTTCTAAATATCATAATTAATATTATACAGTACTGTTATGTTATTTGCAATCCGCCTCATTATTGTATGCACCTCTTGGGATATTGTTAGAACATTTGCTTTGTATTATTTGAAAAGAACTGAGGCTAATAAACTTTCAAAAAGAGCCGAGGCTAATAGCCTCTCAAAAAGAATTGAGGCTTCAATAGCCTCTCTCAAGGCTATTGAAACTTTAGTGTAGCTCAGGTGGATAATTGCAGCCTGACCATCACAAAAACAAAACAAAAGAGGGCCTATTGGTTACTTACATCCCCCAAACGCATTCAGGCGTGTAATAACCTACGAATGGAGATATGTGATAAATTATCTAAACTACCCCACTCGGGTCAAATCGTAACTACAAATCATTAAGTCAGGCTGGATAAGATAGTATTAGGCAAATTTGGGTTAGGTAAGGCTAGGCTAAATATTATACTAGGCTAGGTTAGGTATTAATAGAAGAAGAAATCCGTTTTAAGAGGCGAAATACCCTATATGCGCCCTTTGTCCCTCTTGTCGGATGCCCTGCTGGGTACACTGCCAGGTGCCTTGCCGGGTACCCTGCCGGGTGCCCTGCCGGATACCCTGCTGGGTACCCTACCGAATACTCACGCGTGTCGCTGATGTGCCCCTGGAGTGCCTGGCTGGGTAGAGTGTGGGCCACGACGTAGAGGTGGAGAATAAGGAGGGGGGCGTCCTGCACCAGCGCCAGCAGCAGCTCCACGTTGGCGGCGTCTCTCTCGGCGTGGATCCACAGGGCGACGTAGCCGCCCGGGGAGCACATCCCTCCGGTCCTCACCGAACACGCTGCAACACATTCACATGACTTGTAGTTTCACACGGCGCCGTGGAGAGGGCGGTACCTGCTGCATGGGTGACAGCTTCTCCCTCGTTTCAACCTACCCTGGCTTTGCGCCCTGGAGAGGCCACTTCAGACCGACAACTAGAGCGCAACTCCACAGTCTCCTGAGACTGATGGATGCCTACTACTACTACTTATATGAAAAAGGGGGTAATGACCACAAGGAGCATGATAACTACTTGGTTCATAAGTACCTGATACGGGTCGCTTGCTAGCGGCGGTGGAGCTGCGACTAAGGCCCTTGGAGGAGGAACCCAAGCTGCGGGCGTCCTTGAGGGCGTCGCTGCCTAGGTCCTGCGGCGAGGAGACGAGGGCGGCCTCCATCACCTCGTCCACCAGCGCCTCCTGCAGCGCCGTCTCCGCCGTGCTTTTCGTCCCGTAGTAGATGATGTCCGCCTGCCTATCGGGGACACTACTCATTCAAATACGGGCTCACCATAGCCCGTGCTACTTGGAACATTTTGTTCCAGGTAGCGAATCTATAACAACAACAACAACTACTCATTCCTCGTCATGCACTTGACAACCTCCCCGAACCTCAATCTTCATAATTTCAATGTTTGGTTAAACCTGGTGAGGTTAATTATGTGACCAGTTATGAAGTGTGGATATGTTGACCAGACCACACACTAGAAGGTGAAGGGACGACGACGTTTCGGTCCGTCGAGGACCATTCTCAAGTTGATTGTGAGTTCTCAAGTTCACAATCAACTTGAGAATGGTCCAGGACGGACCGAAACGTCGTCGTCCCTTCACCTTCTAGTGTGTGGTCTGGTCAACTATTCATGCTTCGTAGTGTACTCACGTGTAGGGAGGGAGGAGGAGGAGGCTACATAAGCCTACACCTTTGTATCATGTCTACTGTATTTTGTGAGAGTTTGCCAAGTCACGAAAGTGCTCAGGTTATTTTAGTTTTCTGTGTGTGGATACTTACGCATTAATTTATATATATATATATATATATATATATATATATATATATATATATATATATATATATATATATACATACATATAGTCTGGTCCGGGCCGGTCCTATTGGTCTTATTAAGGGGGTGGAGACCTAATTGTGCAACCCGTTCTCGCACTTGCTTATAGTCAATATTGGCTTATATAATAAGTGCATATGTGACATACTAATTGATTGTGAATATTTTAGTTTACCTTGGAAAGCTTCATAGAAAACACCGACCTCACCTAACCTTCTTAGTATGTTAAGATAAGCATCTTATTAATTACAATTATTACTTAACCTATACCGTTGATAGGTTAAGTAATAATTGTAAATTGTGAGGAGCCCCCCCCCGCCACCCATATAATATATGAAAGGTGCCTGGCGGAGTCCTTAGAGTTGTTCATTCGAAAAAAATGAACGAGACGGGACATTTAGTATCACTGCTGCCTTATTCACTCTTGTGTTCATGATATCCTTATAATGCTCCCAGAGTCTGCCGGTACAGACTGCTTATCACGTGCCTCTGTATGACTAACCATCTTGTGTGATGGGGAATTTTTAGCACCACGTAGCTAGCTTTTTGACACACACTGTACTCTCCTTCATATAGTCTAGGGGAGGTGCACAAATGCAGATGTACCTAATATATTAATAAAAAAAATGAACGTGGATTAATTATTAAATTTTCTGAGAGAAGCGAGAGACAGAGGGGAGATAGGGGGGAGAGGGTTGGAGGGGGGGGATTGTATAAGGGAGAAGTTTGAAGAGATTGAGAGAAGGGGATACAGGTGAAGAAGGGGGAGATAGGGAGAGAGAGTAGAGAGGGGAATAGAAGTAGAAAGAAGTGAGAAAGTGGACTTAGGAGGAGTGTCAGTGAAAGGTGGAGAGAGAGAGAAGAAGAAAGAAGGGATCTTGAGAGAGAGGGGGAAAGGGGAAAGAGAGATGAGAGAAGGGAGGGGGAATTGGGAGAAAGGGGGGAAATGAGTGAAAAGATAGAGGGAGACCCAGAGGTTGCCATACAACCCCTCCCCCCCCTTCCCTCCCTATCAACAACAAATCAAAGTTTACTAACAGTATCCTACACATCAGTGTCAACTGGAAGCTTCAATAACATTGTGTAGAGGAGGCTGGAGGTGCTGACCTGAGGGCGGGCGCCTGGAGCAGCAGGTGGGCGGCCACACGGAAGACCCACACGTAGTTGGGGACCCGTGGATGCCGCGGGCAGTACCGGGGCTCACACGACCGCTCGTCGAACCAGTACCAGTACAGACTGAACCCGTTGGCCACCACCATCGGCAATACTGCACAGGACAAGACACACTTCCATCATGAGGCTCTATGATCAAAATGAAATGAGGAGTTCGAACTGAAATGAGAGGAATGAAATGAGGAGTTCGAACTGAAATGAAAGGAATGAAATGAGGAGTTCGAACTGAAATGAGAGGAATGAAATGGGTTCGAACACGCTTCCCCTCCTGGCTTTCTGAGGGGGGGGGAAGCCTCAGCCTTCACCCTAATGACTAAACTACAGAAACAATCACCTACGTCGATAAGTCAGTATTTGACTAATACTTGGGGCAAGTGAATCTTCCGTATGGTACAGTAACTCACTTTTTTCTGAAATATAAATTATTATTATTTTTATTATATGTTTTAGTTACATTGATTTAGGAAGTTTTTATAAAACAGGCAAGCAGTAAATGAAGCACGTCTCGAACCATAGTTTCCAACATGATCAGTCAACCCGTCCTCACACTAGGCTGGTTAAAGCAGCGGCCGTCCTCCTCAGACGCATTCATCAGTTTTAACATACCGTGTATTAAAAATTGGTTTGTTTTCATATATAACTGAATATTATTATACATAAAATTTTTTATGTATAGTTAGGCATAGGTGAGGTTAGGTTAGGTGTTTAGGTTCTGTTTGCAATTATTTGTATTTATAGAATTGTGGTTCGAACAGAGGACGTGTGTAAACTGCTTCTCATTCATAAACAGGAGGGTTTGCCGGGTGGATTTAAGAGCTTGGATATTTGTATGTGAGAACACAACCCGTCCTCGACTCAAGTCCATTACATCCAGCGGTCGACCCCACAGACGCATTCATAAATTTTAACATGCTGTTCATTCAAAACGGGAATTTTCTCAAGTATAAATTAATATTATAATATATTGGCATATTGTATATATACAGGCATAGGTTAGGTTAGGTGTTTAGGTTCTGTTGGAGATTATTTGTATTTGTAGTACGTGGGTGAAGCATTTATAGCGTTGTGATTCGAACAAAATTCGTCAGTGAAACACTTGTTCCGGATATGTTCGAACGTCAGCAGTTGTGAGTCGTGTGTAAACCGCTTTTCATTCATAAACAGGGGGTATGGCGGGTGCATGGAATCACTTTTGGATCTTTGTTTGGAGGACGGGCTGAAAACGATTTACACACGACTCACAACTGATTTCGTTTAAGCACTTCCGGAACAAGTGTTTCACTGACGACTTTTGTTCGAACCACAACGCTGTAAATGCTTCACCCACGTACTACAAATACAAATAATCACCAACAGAACCTAAACACCTAACCTAACCTATGCCTATATATACACAATATGCTAATATATTATAATATTAATTTATACTTGAGAAAATTCCCGTTTTGAATGAACAGCATGTTAAAATTTATGAATGCGTCTGTGGGGTCGACCGCTGGATGTAATGGACTTGAGTCGAGGACGGGTTGTTACACACGACTCACAACTCATGACGTCCCAACACTTCCGGAACAATTAAGTGCATTACTCACGTCCTGTGTTCGAACCACGGTTATATAAATACTTCACCCACGTACAAGAAATACAAATAATCGCCAACAGAACCTAACCTAACCTAACCTAACCTAACCTAACCTAACCTAACCTAACCTAACCTAACCTACGCCTAACTATACATAGAATTTTTGTATAATACTAATTTATATATGAAAACAAACCAATTTTTAATACAGTGTTAAAGTTGATGAATGCGTCTGGAGAGGCCGGTGCTTTAACCAGCCTAGTGTGAGGACGGGTTGCCCACGTACTACAAATACAAACAATGGTCAATAGAACCTAAACACCTAATCTTATTTAGACCTAACTATGCGCCAAATTCTTATAATAATATTTATTTATATTTGTGAAGATAGCGGTCTTGAAGAGTGTTTTATAATCAATGAAAGCATCCTTGGGGTCGGAGTAGAGATGGACACGTTGATGAGGAGAAGTAACGTAGAGATGAAAGAATAGAAGCTAGGAGAAGCCGATGAGGATGATTAAGTTGCATACATTCAGGCAGAGAATCAATCAAGAATGAAAGAGGAGCATGGTAAACAAGGAGGTTACCTTGAGGTGCTTCCGGGGCTTAGCGTCCCCGCGGCCCGGTCGTCGACCAGGCCTCGGGGCCTGGTCGACGGGGCCTTACACTCCTATGTAACTGGGGCCTTACACTCCTTACACTCCTATGTAAGGAGTGTAAGTCTCGTAAGGTAACTTTCAGGAGAGACGCTAAATCAAAATAACTATATAGTACTTGGAACGAAGTTGAGGACATAAGCGCTAAGATTACAGGAAGGAATGAAGGAATTGTGTCCAGCCACTTGAGCCATCGAAGACTGACCGACGATCTGCAAGAAGCGAGGCCGTCGCTCTACTGACCAGTCCAAGTGGCTGAATAAGAGTTAAGTCGAAGTCACTATCAAAAGAAAAACAGTCGCATCGAAGTCGCTCACTGATGAGGAGGAGCGTGGCGAGGAACCAGTTCTTGGCGGCGGGGTCGTCGCGCATGTAGTAGGCGACCAGGGCGTCAGAGACCAGGTCGAAGTAGAAAGCGACGATGGAGATGACCCCCGTCAGCGCATCGATCCAGCCGAACTCCAGCGTGTCCTCCGGCTCCGTCAGATAGTTAATCCCCTGCCGGAGGTCAAGTCAGGTCAGGCCAGGCTGATAAACTCTCTAGAAGAAAGTGAAACTAGAAATTTACCGCGAAAATTAGAACGAAATAAGAAGATTCATATTTTTACATATATATGTCTACTGCACTTTGTTTTACGTAATTATTTTAAAGTAAAGTGCTACAAAATCCATTGTGCTTTTAATAATTAAATATTATAAATCACTACACGTTCAATAACTCATCACCTTAATGATGAGTTATTGAACTAATATATGAATCAAAGTGATGCCAGATGAGGGGGACATATTGGCCAGATTCTTATATATACAGAATTCGCGTATTTTTACATATATTAGAAACGAATATAAAATGTTTTATTTTTAAAATTTGTAATTTATTAACTCATTAAAATATCTACCAGACTCAGCAAACAGAAAACACAACTCGTGCTTCAAAAATGAATAAATCTGCGTTACAACCTGTCCTCCTGAATAATACATTGCATTAACACGTCCAAATCCCCCAACAGACAAATTATGATGTAATATACATCAATAATAACAGCTCACAAACATCCACGTTTTCTATGCGTGGGTCCTTGGTTAGGTAAGGTTCAGGCAATTTAGTACATCAGTTTAGTGAAACGTCGCATTTCAATCGTATGCGTTACATAAGGCCAATAATTGTCGTACTAGAAAATGGCAGCGGCTGGCGAAAGTGACGTACTGCCCCGTTTTCTGTTTGGGGTCCTCTGGTAGGTTGAAATTGAAATTGAAATAAGTTTATTGAGGTAAAATACACACAAAGGGATGAGGTAGCTCAAGCTATTCTCACCCCGTTATACTGGTAGGTTAGGAGAGACCACTTTACCGGTTTTTACCTAAACAGGAAGACTGCTTTTTTCACGTTGGGAAGCCTTAGGAGGCCGGGCTGAATTTCGAGACCCGCAGTGATTTATAACAACGTACAACATATTTTGACCGCTGGGGATTCATACGCCAAAACGCGATGTGCTGTTCCAAAGAACAGGTTGATCCATTCTTAATTCCATCAATAGCAGTTTTGAGCAGCAGTCCATTCTTGAGCAGTCTCCGTGGTGTAGTGGTAAGACACACTCCTGGCGTTCCGCGAGCGCTATGTCACGGGTTCGTATCCTGGCCGGGGAAGATTTACTGGGCGCAATTCCTTAACTGTAGCCTCTGTTTAACTCAACAGTAAAATGTGTACTTGGTTGTAACAAGGATTCTTCGCGGCAGGGGATCGTATTCCAGGGACCTGCCCGAAACGCTACGCGTACTAGTGGCTCTACAAGAATGTAACAACTCTTGTATATATCTTAAAAAAAAAAATAATGCGGAACGAACACAAATCTCTAACTAGTATTATTGTTCAATAGGTTTTAACAGGTCCGGGAAGTATAGTTGGGTTTCTTCTTGACCCACAATCGTGATTTCCGGGTTCGAATACCGGGCGGGAGAGATATGGTTGGGCGCGTTTTCTATCACCTAATGCAACTGTTCACCTAGCACTTAATAGGTACCCCAAAGGAGTCTAATCACCTTGTTGTAGGGTTTGCAACCTGGCCGAACAGTAATTCGACCTCGGAGGTGGAAAGGGGGGGGAGGGTTGGGCATCGAAATAAACCTAACGTGTATAAATACACTCTGGCTGCCTGTCCCCCGACACAGTGAATAGTGAATAATTCTTCACTATTCACTGAATAATTCTTCACTATTCACTTCACTTTAGTTAACCATTCAGTAGAATCGATTTCTGTGCGAATCACAATTCCACAGAAAACGTAGCTAAAGTCTCGATTCACTCCCAAACTTCTCTAATACACTATTCTCTAACCTCTAACTGAAGTTAACAACTTCAATATAATTAAAAAAGATGTAGATGTAGAAGATGAAGAAGATTTTACATTTATCGTCAAAAATCATCATCGGAGTGTTACAGTGAATTTGTTTAATAATTCGACAAGAAAGCTTCGCTCTTGTGTTGTATGTGTGAGTGTGTACATGTGTATACAACATTAATAATTTTGTAACTAGCGTCAAACATTGTTATTTGCTTAACTAAACGAACTAGAGGGTTCAGTTCCTCAGCCTCTGTAATCCTTTACACCACCGCCCCACGGGATGGGTATGGGGTGCATAATAAAGAAAGGAATTGAAATCTTGTGTACTTAGCTAAAGGAGCTGGTTCACCGCGGGTGTCGCCAAGATTAGCCAAGTTATCCATAAGTTGCTTCTTGGGCGAGTGCTTCTTGATGTCAGGCGGTTGCGGGTAGGGGAGGGGGTCCCAGTGTTACTGGGGGGGGGGGGAAGGGGTCCTCACGTTTCTGGGGGAGGGAGAAGAGTGGGGGGGGGGGAAGGGAGGGAAGAGGGAGGGAATGGGGATTGGGAGGGAGAGACAGATTATACAGAGCCTCACCACAGGCACCCCTTCCAGTACACACACACACACACACACAATATATTACCTAACCTCTCAGTATATATTTTGTGTTGACAGATATTTCGTGTTAATGGACTGGATTATTTTGGTTCATCGTGACACTTCCTGTTAAATAAAACTCAGGCGCATGAGTTCCCCATCATTGTTAGTCATGCAATCTACATTAAACTAACTCCCCCCTCTTCATCATCAGCCAAACTTACGGCTTAATTGGTCCGCTTGCCACTTGACTAGTGGTTGGCAAGTGACGATCCATTACCCCACCCTAAGTCAAATCACCTAATCCACCTGTTCCTGTATCCTACACATATTCCTGTATCCTACATGTATCCTACACCCAAGTTACTGTGACACTGGCACGCTATAGAGCCAGGTGTATCCACCCATTATGTGGCACTCTATTGGAAAACGTTCATCACATGTATCCTCTAAATGTATCCTCTATTACTAAAGTGTGGTTATCTTGAGATGATTTCGGGGCTTTTTAGTGTCCCCGCGGCCCGGTCCTCGACCAGGCCTCCACCCCCAGGAAGCAGCCCGTGACAGCTGACTAACTCCCAGGTACCTATTTACTGCTAGGTAACAGGGGCATTCAGGGTGAAAGAAACTTTGCCCATTTGTTTCTGCCTCGTGCGGGAATCGAACCCGCGCCACAGAATTACGAGTCCTGCGCGCTATCCACCAGGCTACGAGGCCCTAAAAACAAACTGTGTATCAAGAAAGATGTTGTAGTGATCGGGAATCCACTTAGGTGGATTAGGTGGTAATCCACCTACATTTGCTAACATATACTTTTTTTTATCTTGTAAGCAAATACTGGGTACAAAATTTTTTCTGAATTTAAATCAAGTTCTGGTTCAAGTACTTCTTAGGCCTACAGGTTCCAGTGCTTGATGCCAATAAGTTCAGAACGTAATCCAGTTCAACAGGTTCCAGTACTTAACAGAGACCAACAGGATCCAGTACCCAACAGAGACCAACAGAATCCAGTACCCAACAGAGACCAACAGGTCTCAACAGAGACCAACAGGATCCAGTACCCAACAGAGACCAACAGGATCCAGTACCCAACAGAGACCAACAGGATCCAGTACCCAACAGAGACCAACAGGTCTCAACAGAGACCAACAGGATCCAGTACCTCTCCAAAGAGTACAGAACCCAATTTCAATATTTAGATTTATAAATCTTTTAATGTCATCTATTAAACAAACTCAAATAATTGATTATATAGAATTTACAATAATAGATAAATAATATAAACAAATAATATTTGTCACTGTAAACAAACAAGGGTTTAGAAAACTGTTTACAGAAAACAAGGGTGTAGAAAACTGTTTACAGAAGGAAGATCAATTTTATTTTCTCTAGATAATGTGTTTAAGACAACAGTGTGGGAGAAGTTCAGTTCTTAGGGGCCTCGTAGCCTGGTGGATAGCGCGCAGGACTCGTAATTCTGTGGCGCGGGTTCGATTCCCGCACGAGGCAGAAACAAATGGGTAAAGTTTCTTTCACCCTGAATGCCCCTGTTACCTAGCAGTAAATAGGTACCTGGGTGTTAGTCAGCTGTCACGGGCTGCTTCCTGGGGGTGGAGGCCTGGTCAAGGACCGGGCCGCGGGGACACTAAAAAAAGCCCCGAAATCAACTCAAGATAACCTCAAGATAACCTGTTAATATGTCTGTTAATATTAGAAATTAGATTTTTATTTCTGCTTGTGATTATAACTATCTTTAGGGGGGGGAGGGACAAGGAATTATAAGTTTCTTGAAATGAAAATAAATTCTTATTTAATATGAATATTCTTATAATATGAAATCTTATAATATGAATATGAATTTAATATAATGCTCGTTCGCTGTTGATGACAGCCAGCCATTAACTTGTCAAGTTAAGTAATTCCTGAGGTATATTACTTATAATTTAATATTGATTTAGTTATCAGGCGCAACGACGGAGCAGCAATTTAGCAACTATGAATGTCTTAAGTATCTTACTTAATACTTAAGTATCTTACTTTAGTCTTACTAAATACTCCACTCCGGGTCTGAATCAACCACAGTTCCTCAATCAGTCCAACCACTTGGGCTGGATGGTAGAGCGACGGTCTCGCTTCATGCAGGTCAGCGTTCAATCCCAGACTGTCCAAGTGGTTGGGGGCACCATGCCTTTCCCCCGTCCCATCCCAAATCCTTATCCTGATCCTTTCCAAGTGCTATACAGTCGTAATGGCTTGGTGCTTTCCCGTGATAAATCCCTTCTCAATCAGCGTCCTCTCTCTCTCAATTTGCTACTTCCTACGAAAAGCAACTAATTTGCCTATAAAGACCACAAACCAACCAAAGCAACCCTAACCAAACCTGCAGAGTTCGATGCCTTAAAAGCGGCTGTACTGCAGTGCCTTAACTTTTGCCTTTAACTTTTGCCTTGTACGGATTTGTCGACTTCGGTACAAAATGCGACGTCGCTTCATGCATTCGACTTTACGAGGTCGGAACCGCTACGAGGACGTCGTAAAGGTTAATATATATATCTTTGATAAAAGAATGAGTATATCTAACTTGGAGAACATAAAGAAACTAATAGATGAAATCAAAGCATCTCTCTCTCTCTCTCTATCTCTATCTCTCTCTCTCTCTCTCTCTCTCTCTCTCTCTCTCTCTCTCTCTCTCTCTCTCTCTCTCTCTCTCTCTCTCTCTCTCTCTATATATATATATATATATATATATATTGATTTAGACACCACAGGGACTCGGTTTTGAGCCCATTGTTTGGCTTCAATATTTTCTGATATATATATATATATATATATATATATATATATATATATATATATATATGTCGTACCTAATAGCCAGAACGCACTTCTCAGCCTACTATTCAAGGCCCGATTTGCCTAATAAGCCAAGTTTTCATGAATTAATGTTTTTTCGTCTACCTAACCTACCTAACCTAACCTAACCTAGCTTTTTTTGGCTGCCTAACCTAACCTTACATATAAATATAGGTTAGGTTAGGTTAGGTAGGGTTGGTTAGGTTCGGTCATATATCTACGTTAATTTTAACTCCAATAAAAAAAACTTGACCTCATACATAGAGAAAAGGGTTGCTTTATCATTTCACAAGAAAAAAATTATAGTAAATATATTAATTCAGGAAAACTTGGCTTATTAGGCAAATCCTGCCTTGAATAGTAGGCTGAGAAGTGAGTTCTGGCTACTAGGTACGACATATATATATATATATATATATATATATATATATATATATATATATCAGAAAATATTGAAGCCAAACAATGGGCTCAAAACCGAGTCCCTGTGGCGTCCAAAGTCCGGGGTTCGATTCCATGGCCTAAATACGTTGTGACGAGTGACTGCTACATTCACTCGGGGTAACAAGGAGACAATAACACGTGACCAACCTCCTGCACTTCGTCACACAGCTGCTCGGCCAATTGGACAGCTCCGGGACCTGAAACGAGAGGCAGAGTCGGACAATTCATTCCTGACCAATTAGGCAAATCGTCACCATTCTGGCTGGACTGAACACATGGACAGCAGAGTAAATCACACATATTATTTTTTTTTAATTAATTAGTTTTTTAGACATTAGAAAATTAGAAATTAGAACAGAATTTAGTTTACAAGTTGTAAACACATGTACAGCAGAGTAAATCGCACATATTTTTTTTTAATTAATTAGTTTTTTAAACATTAGAAAATTAGAAATTAGAACAGAATTTAGTTTACAAGTTGAGTGGTGATGTATATACTTGTAAAACAGCGTGTGGTAGTAATGATAATAAAGGCAGTAGTGACAACAGAAGCAGTAATAATAACAGCAATAATGACAACAAAAGCAGTATAATGACAACAAAAGCAGTATAATGACAGCAAAAGCAGTATAATGACAACAAAAGCAGTATAATGACAACAAAAGCAGTATAATGACAGCAAAAGCAGTATAATGACAGCAAAAGCAGTATAATGACAGCAAAAGCAGTATAATGACAACAAAAGCAGTATAATGACAACAAAAGCAGAATAATGACAACAAAAGCAGTATAATGACAACAAAAGCAGTATAATGACACCAAAAGCAGTATAATGACAGCAAAAGCAGTATAATGACAGCAAAAGCAGTATAATGACAACAAAAGCAGTATAATGACAGCAAAAGCAGTATAATGACAACAAAAGCAGTATAATGACAACAAAAGCAGTATAATGACAGCAAAAGCAGTATAATGACAACAAAAGCAGTATAATGACACCAAAAGCAGTATAATGACACCAAAAGCAGTATAATGACAGCAAAAGCAGTATAATGACAGCAAAAGCAGTATAATGACAGCAAAAGCAGTATAATGACAACAAAAGCAGTATAATGACAGCAAAAGCAGTATAATGACAACAAAAGCAGTATAATGACAACAAAAGCAGTATAATGACAACAAAAGCAGTATAATGACAACAAAAGCAGTATAATGACAACAAAAGCAGTATAATGACAACAAAAGCAGTATAATGACAACAAAAGCAGTATAATGACAACATAAACAGCAATAACAGTAGAAAAAACAGCGTGAGACACCAAGATTATCCTTCAATCTTTTGAGGTTTTCATTGTTAGTTGACTCACATGAACCTCATTAAATGATCCAGACGGATTCACTCATCAGCCCCCTGAGTCCTGGCGCCACTGACTCACCCACACTTGACCACATTACACACAGAAATCACAATAGCGTGACGCATCAAATGAACAAATCCACAAGGGCCGTGACGAGGGTTCGAACCTGCGTCCGAGAGGATCCCAGACGCTGCCTTAATCGACTGAGCTACGACATGGTTAAAAGAATTGCAACCAGAGGTTCTACTGATCTTACTTGGATCCTGCAGCCTCTCTGAGACTGTCATAATTCTTTATGACACTACTGGCACTTAATACATTTAGGAAAGACCTGGGTAAATACTGGTGTGTCAAGAGTTTGAAAGACCTGGGTAAATACTGGTTTGTCAAGAGTTTTGTTTGTTTTATGGGACAAATTATCGGGTAACATAATACAGGTGAAATCGATGAAATGTCTCAAGCGTAGGTTAGACATGAATGAATTTGGGTGGATATATATATATATATATATATATATATATATATATATATATATATATATATATATATATATATATACATACATACATACATACATACATACATACATACATACATACATACATATACAGTAGTTGCCTCGTGTGGGCCAACAGGAGCTGCCTCGTGTGGACCAACAGGAGCTGCCTCGTATGGACCAACGGGAGCTGCCTCGTATGGACCAACAGGAGCTGCCTCGTATGGACCAACGGGAGCTGCCTCGTATGGACCAACAGGAGCTGCCTCGTATGGACCAACAGGAGTTGCCTCGTATGGACCAACAGGAAATTCCTCGTATGGACCAACAGGAGCTGCCTCGTATGGACCAACAGGAAATTCCTCGTATGGACCAACAGGAAATTCCTCGTATGGACCAACAGGAAATTCCTCGTATGGACCAACAGAAGCTGACTCGTATGGACCTACGGGAGCCGCCTCATAAGGACCAACGGGAGCTGCCTCGTATGGACCAACGGGAGCCGCCTCGTATGGACCAACAGCAGCTGCCTCGTATGGACCAACAGACCTCCGATAGCGCAGTTCATTCTTATGTTTATCGGTGATCGTCAATTGTTTTCTTCTTTTACCAGGAAGAACTGTGAACGGTTATGTCCAGATGTACACCACGCTGGTCACAACGCCCAGAGCTTCTGGCGGACTGTCTTGAGGTTATCTTGAGATGATTTCGGGGCTTTAGTGTCCCCGCGGCCCGGTCCTCGACCAGGCCTCCACCCCCAGGAAGCAGCCCGTGACAGCTGACTAACACCTAGGTACCTATTTTACTGCTAGGTAACAGGGGCATAGGGTGAAAGAAACTCTGCTCATTGTTTTTCGCCGGCGCCTGGGATCGAACCCAGGACCACAACAGCCCGTGACAGCTGACTAACACCCAGGTACCTATTTTACTGCTAGGTAACAGGGGCATAGGGTGAAAGAAACTCTGCCCATTGTTTCTCGCCGGCGCCTGGGATCGAACCCAGGATCACAAGTCCAGTGTGCTGTCCGCTCGGCCGACCGGCTCCCTAACCGACCGACTAATCCAATAATGTCCTCGAAAATGATGACCGGGCACCTAAATGGGCTGGACAAAAAAACTGCCAATTACAAGACTAGGCGACACGCAAGCGTTACTTCATTATGAAGATCAACGTCGCACGAAAGTAGCTATAGATGCTATTAGCAAATTGCTTCGTCAGAATTTTTCGAGCAGTAATTGGGGATCGTGTGTGGCGTGGTTACTGATCACCGTCGTCAGTCCACGAGGAAGGCTGGTTATTACGGTGTGGGTTGAGGGGGGGAGGGGGGGTTGTGTAGTGCCGTGGAGGAGGGGGTGAAAGTGTGTGGGCCTCTCGTTGGGGGGAACCAGTGGTAAAAACACAATAGTTTCCCCTATCTAACCGACGTAACGTTTCGAGTTCTAGGCATAGAAAATGGGAATGTTTGGTAGCGGTAACTCTTCTTAATGACTTGCGGGTGTAAACATTGGTTGCGATATTGTAAAAACACGCGACCTTTTAGTCGAGAGAACGGGTTGATGAAGTACAAGGTAGACCAAATTGGGAGAATTTAAGCGCGGGAGGATATTGGTTAATGCGGCTGCGATCACCTGCAGCCTATCACCTTCAGCAGGTGGCGGGAATTAAGTGACGAGTTTCGTAACTCTCAGTGTTCCTCGCCCCTAAATCAACACAACTCCTCTCAGTGTGGGACCTCTGCCAGCAGGAACTGGACCCATTACTCTCAAATACAACATTATTGAATGTTCAGTCATATAGTCTCCGTGGCGTAGTGGTAAGACGCTCGCCTGGCGTTCCGCGAGCGCTTTGTCCTGAGTTCGTATCCTGGCCGGGGAGGATTTACTGGGCGCAAATCCTTAACTGTAGCCTCTGTTTAACTCAACAGTAAAATGGATACTTGGTTGTAAAAACGATTCTTCGTGGGGGTCGTATTCCAGGGAACATAGGATTAAGGACTTGCCCGAAACGCTACGCGTACTAGTGGCTGTACAAGAATGTAACAACTCTTGTATATATCAATAAAAAAAATAGCTCATTTAGACCTGCTCATATGAGGTACCTGAATGTTTGATATCACTGTATCTATTCTCGTGTTCTTGACTTATCTGCATAATGGACTCAAAGTTTGCCAGTGCAGACTACTGATCACGTGGCCCTGTATATGACTGTGAGATGGCGACTCTAAGTATCACCTAGTTAGCTCGTGACACAAACTATGTAACCCTTCATATAGTGCCAGGACACTGGCCTCCAACCTTGGACAAGAGAAGGGAAAGGAACCATCAGGAGCACCAAGCCATTACGACTATATAAAAGATATATAAATATATATCTATACAGTATCTATAAAATAAATGTCTGTCCGTACGATGATGATGGTGGTCCAGCTTTACACAATGATTGCTCTGGGATACGTACCCAACACGGGCGGATCAGGAGCAGACCAATTTCTCTTATTACAAATGGGTCAAGTGCCATGGCCACCCCACATACCCCTCCCGACGAAATCGGTGGAAGATATCTGGTCGAGACCCCAGATTTTTTGACCAAGGACAGTGCTTGGATCGACCCTCATGCCTGGTCGACACAAGCACTGGGTGCAGTCAGACACCGGGGCGACCAAAGCCCCGGGGTAAATACGAAATATCAATACTGTAATATATATATGCAGGCGATGAGTCACAATAACGTGGCTAAAGTATGTTGACCAGACCACACACTAGAAGGTGAAGGGACGACGACGTTTCGGTCCGTCCTGGATCATTCAATCGACTTTAGAATGGTCCAGGACGGACCGAAACGTCGTCGTCCCTTCAGAGAGAGAGAGAGAGAGAAGATTAAGCCACCCAAAAGGTGGCTTGGGCATGAATAGCCCATAAGTGGTGGCCCTTTTGAGCCATTTCCAGTATCAATAGATGATACTGGAGATCTGTGGAGGTGCGACTGCACCCTGCGTGACGGGAGATGCCTCCAGTCGTCCCTTCAGATTGATTGATGAAGATTAAGCCACCCAAAAGGTGGCACGGGCATGAATAGCCCGTAAGTCCCTTCAGCTTCTAGTCTGTAATATATATAGTTCATGCATGTGTGCCCAGAAGAGAGGTGATCAGTCTGTCGAAATGACAGGATAATCGGGTCCAACAATTACTGGTTGGGGCCGGGGTGGTGGTGGCGGGGGATTGCATTAACACCACCCCTCTTGGTGATTGATTGATTGATGAAGATTAAGCCACCTAAGATGTGGCACGGGCATGAATAGCCCGTAAGTGGTAGATAAAACTCTCTTGGTCGTGCTGAAGGCAATACATACCGAGATATGGGTTGGCTGTTAGCAGCTGGACGAGTCTTTTATGTGAAGTGCTTCTGCTATGTGTAGTCTTTTACGATCATTTTGATTTTGTGTTCAAATAATGTGATTTTTATTGGAATCTTGTTGTTTGTACATAGTCAGGCATCTTGGAAAAAATATTGTTGTCCTGCCTTCATAGCGAGAATTAGAGGCAAATTATAGTAAATCACTTCACATCAAACGCATCTTGGAAAAAATATTGTTGTCCTGCCTTCATAGCGAGAATTAGAGGCAAATTATAGCAAATCACTTCACACCAAACACACTTATCCAATTATCAACTGCCAACTCATTCGTCACCCACTCAAGAGATTTCATATAATTAACGCTGATAAGGCAAAATTGGTCAAAAATTTAAACTGCAAATATTCAAAGAAGCAAAACACAGTTCAGCTTAATATAGGTGTATGGTAATTGCTGCAGCTTACACAGAGTTGAGAGGGAGGTTATCTTGAGATCTTGAGATGATTTCGGGGCTTTTTAGTGTCCCCTCAGCCCGGTCCTCGACCAGGCCTCCACCCCCCAGGAAGCAGCCCGTGACAGCTGACTAACACCCAGGTACCTATTTTACTGCTAGGTAACAGGGGCATAGGGTGAAAGAAACTCTGCCCATTGTTTCCCGCCGGCGCCTGGGATCGAACCCAGGACCACAGGATCACAAGTCCAGGGTGCTGTCCGCTCGGCTCCCCTCTACGCACATTACACACTGCTGGAGGGTTACGTGTGTCGACTCCAGAAAGTGCTACACGGATAGACTACAGATAATGCTACACAAACACAGTACATATATATTAAGCACAAACTTGTAAAATTATAATCATCTGGTTTGAAACGACAAGATCACTGGCGTCAACAGAGGGAGATAACACAAGTAGATCACATATAATAACTATGCTACTTGTCACCACTAAGGTGACTATGCAGACTCTAGAGGGGGCTACACTGGTCGATTTCACAGTAGACTGCAGAAGAAGTTACACAGATAACTGTGTAACTTGAGAATGGTCCAGGACGGACCGAAACGTCGTCGTCCCTTCACCTTCTGGTGTGTGGTCTGGTCAACTTACACAGATAAACTATAGCGGACTGTTAAAAAATAACATAAGAACATAAGAACAAAGGTAACTGCAGAAGGCCTATTGGCCCATACGAGGCAGCTCCTATTCTATAACCACCCAATCCCACTCATATACTTGTCCAACCCGTGCTTGAAACAATCGAGGGACCCCACCTCCACAATGTTACGCGGCAATTGGTTCCACAAATCAACAACCCTGTTACTGAACCAGTATTTACCCAAGTCTTTCCTAAATCTAAACTTATCCAATTTATATCCATTGTTTCGTGTTCTGTCCTGTGTTGATACTTTTAATACCCTATTAATATCCCCCCGGTTATGTCCATTCATCCACTTGTAAACCTCTATCATGTCACCCCTAACTCTTCGCCTTTCCAGTGAATGCAACTTAAGCTTTGTTAATCTTTCTTCATATGAAAGATTTCTAATTTGGGGAATTAACTTAGTCATCCTACGCTGGACACGTTCAAGTGAATTTATATCCATTCTATAATATGGCGACCAAAACTGAACTGCATAATCTAAATGGGGCCTAACTAGAGCAAGATATAGCTTGAGAACCACACCAGGTGTCTTGTTACTAACGCTGCGATTAATAAATCCAAGTGTCCGATTTGCCTTATTACGAACATTTATGCATTGATCCTTTTGTTTTAAATTCTTACTAATCATAACTCCCAGATCCCTTTCGCAATCCGACTTCGCAATCACAACACCATCTAGCTCGTATCTTGTAACTCTATCATCATTACCTAACCTCAGAACTTTACATTTATCAGCATTAAACTGCATCTGCCAATCCTTTGACCATTTCAAAACCCTATCTAGATCAACTTGAAGTGATAGTGAGTCCTCCTCCGAATTAATTTCCCTACCGATTTTCGTATCATCGGCAAATTTGCAAATGTTGCTACTCAAACCTGAATCTAAATCATTTATATATATTATAAACAACAGAGGTCCCAGGACAGAGCCTTGAGGCACTCCACTTACAACATTTTCCCACTCTGACTTGATTCCATTTATACTAACTCTCTGTTTCCTTTGGTATAGCCATGCCCTAATCCAGCTTAATATAGCACCCCCAATACCATGAGACTCTATTTTTTTAATCAGTCTTTCATGTGGCACTGTATCAAAAGCTTTGCTAAAGTCAAGGTATACAACATCGCAATCCTTACCACTATCAACTGCCTCAACAATGCTAGAATAAAAAGATAACAAATTTGTTAAACATGAACGGCCATTTATAAAACCATGTTGCGACTCAATTATTAATTTATGTTTTTCAAGATGAAGACGAATTTTATTTGCTATTATAGATTCGAGTAACTGAAAAGAAACTGAAATACACTGAAAAGGGGTTCAACAGGTAGAGTATATAGGGAATGGCAGTACATGTACGTAATAGGAAGAGTATATTCACCCAAGATGTCGATGGAAGAGGACGATGAGTCGCTAGTCGAAGTGGTGACGTCTGAGTCGGGCTTCCGACAGTCCTGGCTATCATCGTCGTCAATCATTGGGATCTTCAGTTTGCGGAAGCGAGATCGTCGTTTGTGTTGGCTGTGGTCGACGTCGTCCTCCACGGCCCCCAGATTACATTCGTTCAGATTTGGAGCTGTCCGGCGATTTTTGTGTTTCTTCTTTTTTCGACTACTGGTCTCGACCAGTGACTTGTGGGTTTTGCTAGGCTTACATTCAGAGTTCTTGGCGGTACTGTCGCTTCGGCCATCAGGAAAACTGGAAAGATTGTGGTTCCAGCAGGCTTCGACCAGCGTTTCCTTTTCCTCCAGACTGTCCCAAGCCCTGGATTTGGAAGGAGGCTCTTGTATCTTCTTGTACTTGAGCCTTTCTTCGTTGCCTCCGTCGTACATACCGTTTCCTAGATTTACCAGATCTTTTATCACCTCTTCAGCGTTTCCGTTGTGGTCGGCGAAATAGTGACTAGGATAGGCAGAATACGAACTCGAATCCCTCGTTCCATGTGTCGGGTCGCTCGGGAACTTCGGATTAGCTTTTGGAAAAGGCCGAAGATTAGTCAGGTCCACAAGGTCTGGGCTGAGGATGTTGTATAATGGTCCGTGGTCAGATACCGCCGAACTATCTGGGAACTGCATTGGTTCCATGAAATACTTGTCCCGCTCGGGCTGAGGGCTAGCTATGCTGGAGACAGGAGACATAGGGGTGTTTGGAGGCGTGATGATGGAAGGACTCTGAAGGTTATAGCACGGGATTTTTGGGCTTGTCCTGGTCGCAGGATGCTTGGGACTGGAAGGTATGGAGAGAGGAGACAATGGCGTGTTTGGTGGCGGTGACAAGTTGGGGCTCAGCGGACAGGCATCACCGCCGAAAGAAACGGCGTTGTAAAAGACGTCTGTGTGTGTCTGCTGCGGGGACATGAGGCTGGTGATGGTGGTGGCCAGGGTGGGCATGGAGTAGCTGGTGGGTACGATGGGCTTGAGAGGCTCCGGCAGACCAAGGGGCATCGCTGCTCTGCCAGTAAACGGAGACTGAGGATTTATGGCGCCATAGCCGCCATCAGAGCCAAAGTTACCTGCAGGCTTCAGCATCGTGTCTTCACTGGCGGTCGTTGCACCCCCAGAAGAAGCCGCCATAGAGAGTCTAGGAGTCTTCTTAGGAGCCAGTACAACCAGTTGACTGGTCCCTGGAGAAGGCTGGGGACTCCTTGAGGGCCTGACCTTACTCATTATCATCTATCTCAGAAAGAGCCTACGCGTGATACGACTCAGCACATCCTCAGGAGAGAAGTTGTGATCCATTGCTGTCCTCACTCAACTGGTCATTGTGTTCCACTTGGGAAGTTGTCACACAGGTAATTGTCTTCGGTGGAACACGAGAACACGTCACAATTTTCATATCTGGATCTTAGAAAAATTTGACGAGATTTAAAATAAAGATAACATTGACAAATGCTGAGGGATGCTACCTCGAGGACTACGTATGCCCACGGAGCACTTTAGTAAGTTACCATCACAGATCGGGGCACGAGGGTGGAATTCCCATGTGTTGTAGACCTTTAAGGAAGACACAAGAAACAATTGCGTTAAATACATTAATAATAGAACAATTATAAGCACACGATACTTCAGAGACACTGGGTTGACGTGAAGCTGAGGAAGTGTCCATCCTTGTGTACAGTAGGGTGCGTGAGGAACATGTTGGAAGATAAGGAGATACAACATGTTGGAACATGTTGGAAGATAAGGAGATACAACATGTTGGAACATGTTGGAAGATAAGGAGATACAACATGTTGGAAGATAAGGAGATACAACATGTTGGAACATGTTGGAAGATAAGGAGATACAACAATGAATGATGTTGTTTGTTGTTAAAGATTTGCTACCGTGAACAAAAAGTTCCAAGTAGCACGGGCTATATAGAAAGATATAGTAAAAAAAAAAATGAGTGTAAATTATAAGCCTGAGGAGAGTTTGTCAGTGAATCATAGGTGAATACAGTTTGGCCATGTTAAAAAGCATGGACGACGATAGAACAGCGAAGAGAGTGTATTCAAGTTAATGTTAATTCAAGCTAACGATAGGAAGTAGTCAAGAAGATGGGAAGACTTCGTGAATGAGTATACCTAGGTCATAAAAGTATTTGTGTGGACGTCTGATACCATAATACTTGTGTTAAGGAGGAATGTATATGTTTATCTCTCAGAATGTTTGGTAATATGTTTATTGTTTGTGATGTGTGTCTATGTATGTACTAACACGTTGTACTGAACGGGGTGAGAATAGCTTGAGCTACCTCATCCCTTTGTGTGTATTTTACCTCAATATACTTATTTCAATTTCAATTTCGTGAATGCGCCAGGGAATAAACGCGAGCAAGGAGAGTGGAATACGGAGTAGGGAGAGGAGGCAGCAGTGTGCCAAGACAAGAGAGCCATGAGTGTGTTGTTTTAGATTTAACTACTCGGAACTAATTCAACATTTCCCGTGGTAAGCCCGCGAGGCATTACGCCATGAGTGACTGATGAACCTTAAGCCACCCAAGAGGCCTTACAGCTGAGTGATTGATTGATTGATGAAGATTAAGCCACCCAAGAGGTGGCACGGGCATGAATAGCCCGTAAGTGGTGGCCCTTTTGAGCCATTACCAGTATCAAGAGCTGATACTGGAGATCTGTGGAGGTGCGACTGCACCCTGCGTGACGGGAGATGGCTCCCGTGCCACACTGTTGCAGTTGAGTGGACAGTGTTTCAAATTCGTAGTCCTGAGGTTCCAGTTCGATCCCCGGTGGAGGCGGAAACAAAATAGGCAGAGTTTCTTTCACCCTGATGCCCCTGTTACCTAGCAGTAAATAGGTACCTGGGTCGAGTCAGACAGCTACGACGAGCTGCTTCCTAGGGGGTGTGTAACAAAAAGGAGGCCTGGTCGAGGACCGGGCCGCGGGGACACTAAGCCTTGAAATCCTCTCAAGATAACCTCAAGAAGATAACCAAGAGGTGACACGGGTATGAATAGCCCGTGTCGCTTTTTTACACATCTCGTGAGGAGTGTTTACACCTAATCTTGAGATGATCTTGAGATGATTTCGGGGCTTTTTTAGTGTCCCGAAATATTTTTCTTTTAAAGTAAACTCTGCCCATTGTTTCTCGCCGGCGCCTGGGATCGAACCCAGGACCACAAGTCCAGCGTGCTGTCCGCTCGGCCGACCATTACTCCCTAGTGTGACGAAGCACTCAAGATGGCGATGATGATAATGATGATGAAAATGATGATGGAAGATCACTGTTGCTGCTTCTCCGTTCGGTGAGAAAAATATGACGCGGGAACGAGAGTTAGCGATAACATTAACCCTCCTTGGGCCAGATTCACGAAAGCACTTACGAACCTGTACATCTTTTTTCAATCTTTGGCGGCTTTGTTTCCAATTCTTAAACTGTTAATGAGCTCCGAGGCACCAGGAGACTGTTTATAACAATAACAACAGTTGAATAGGAAGTTTTCATGCTTGTAAACTGTATAATAAATGTAACCAAAGCCGTCAAAGATTGAGGAAAGATGTACACGTTCGTAAGTGCTTGCGTAAGTGCTTTCGTGAATCTGGCCCCTTATCTATAGTGCTGTGTTATCCCTTCTCCCTAAAAAAGAAAAAACGGATATAATCACGACGATTGTATGACGTAAATTAAGATCTGTAAATAGATCTTCTTGAGCTTTCTTTAGCTGCTCTGACCTTCAGCTTCCCAGCCAATCCCAAGCTCACTCCGGTGACCTTTCCCGCTCAGTCTCTCTGGAACTGACCTTTACCGGCAAAATACGACAGTCAGTGGAACTTTCAGAAAATTTAGAGGAGTAGGATAGGAATAACAAGTAGAGAACTGGGGTAATATATATATATATATATATATATATATATATATATATATATATATATATATATATATATATATATATATATATATATATATATATATATATATATATATATATATATATATATATATATATATATATATATATATATATATATATATATATATATATATATATATATATATATATATATATATATATATATTATATTATATATATATATATATATATATATATATATATATATATATATATATATATATATGCGAACAAGCCTGAATGGTCCCCAGGACAGTTATATATATATATATATATTATATATATATATATATATATATATATATATATATATATATATATATATATATATATATATATATATATATATGTATATATATATATTTATATATAAGTGCACGAGAGAGGAGTCAAGGACATGAATAATTCGTGAGAGGTGATAAGTAGATTAGAAGAGGGAGAAGCGGATTAGAGGGGGACAAGGGGATTAGAGGGGGGACAAGGGGATTAGAGGGGGGGACAAGGGGATTAGAGGGGGGGACAAGGGGATCAGAGGGAAGGAAGTCATGTGGTTGGATTGTTGTCTCAGCTGAGCTGAAGAAGGAAGGAATACAGGTCTACAGATCGATGTCTACAACCCCCCCCCCCCCCCCACACACACCCATTACAACCTACATGTTATGATTGTGTAAAAATAAGAATTATTTCAATAGTGGTGTTAGTTATAATAATGGTAACACATATACTGGTGAGGTTTTAATAGTAGTGGTGCTGGCTATAGGGTAGATTGTTACAGGGGAACAGGTTATAAGGGGGGATGTTATAGCGGTGGTGTTATAAGGGGGGGATGTTATAGTGGGTGGTGGACACTCATTCAATCGTAACTCACTGCTAGAAGGAAGATTTCCTCGTAGTGAATATCTTGTCCATGTCCGTGTACTCTGTCGCGTGACACGTCAGTGGACAGGCCCGTGATTTGTCCACATTATGAACGCCTTGTCCGGATAACGCACACATTAACCGAATCCTGAGTCCTGTAGTATGTCCGGTTAAAAACACGTACAAGATGATTTTCAGCGACCTCTACGGGCCCAAACATGCTCGCGTATGTTCAACAGAGGATTAACATCATCAATGTGGATTCAATTTAACATCAACATAGTTTACCTAGCCTGGGGGATAGATGGATGGGGGGGGGGATAGACAATGGTCTTATATTACGTCAGTGATTGTCATTTTCACTTGGCCTCTGGCGCCATTACTCGGCTTTCAGTGAATGTTAAGAGTTTCTCACATGGATTGGGTGCCCCAGGTGTGTGAGTGCGTCAGTCTCTTACCGTCACAGCGCACCACTGCTTGCTCTACCTCGCTCCGAGCAGTGACTATTGACTTCCATCACCAGGACCACTGGTGAGGGAGGCGGGGAGGGAGTGGGGTTGGTACTCGGAGGTGTGGGGAGGGGGTAAATACAAGTCCTTGACCCAAATACCGGGCAACGAGTCCGCAGGCAACAGACCAGTTGATCGCACACCTGATTCTGATTTCCTCAACACACGTCACCACCAGATCGGGATATTTAACAGCCTGGGATTAACAATATCAGAACAACGTAGCATCTCACACACAGGTCGAGTGCTAATGAAAATGGTGCCTGTAGGAGGCGCAGAACGAGGGCCAGGCTCGTGCGTGGCGGGGCCATGGGTACGTTCGGCGACGGTCCGCCGGAGAGCCTCGTTCATTCACCAGCGGTTGTATGACTGACATGCGAAGTCTGGCGTTGGTCACGAGACTGGCCCAGCGGCTCACCTCACTCTGGGATCTATACAACTTCCCCCCTCTCACCCCCTCACCTACCGTCGGTGCTGTGCGCCTGTGCGTACTCACCTAGATGCTTGCTGGAGGGATCTTACCTCCCACTGACTAGCTCTCTATGTCCGGACTACTAGTCCTGTTGTGCCTGTTGGAGGGATCTTACCTCCCACTGACTAGCTCTCTATGTCCGGACTACTAGTCCTGTTGGACCTGTTGGAGGGATCTTACCTCCCACTGACTAGCTCTCTATGTCCGGACTACTAGTCCTGTTGGACCTGTTGGAGGGATCTTACCTCCCACTGACTAGCTCTCTATGTCCGGACTACTAGTCCTGTTGGACCTGTTGGAGGGATCTTACCTCCCACTGACTAGCTCTCTATGTCCGGACTACTAGTCCTGTTGGACCTGTTGGAGGGATCTTACCTCCCACTGACTAGCTCTCTATGTCCGGACTACTAGTCCTGTTGGACCTGTTGGAGGGATCTTACCTCCCACTGACTAGCTCTCTATGTCCGGACTACTAGTCCTGTTGGACCTGTTGGAGGGATCTTACCTCCCACTGACTAGCTCTCTATGACCGGACTACTAGTCCTGTTGGACCTGTTGGAGGGATCTTACCTCCCACTGACTAGCTCTCTATGTCCGGACTACTAGTCCTGTTGGACCTGTTGGAGGGATCTTACCTCCCACTGACTAGCTCTCTATGGCCGGACTACTAGTCCTGTTGGACCTGTTGGAGGGATCTTACCTCCCACTGACTAGCTCTCTATGTCCGGACTACTAGTCCTGTTGTGCCTGTTGGAGGGATCTTACCTCCCACTGACTAGCTCTCTATGTCCGGACTACTAGTCCTGTTGGACCTGTTGGAGGGATCTTACCTCCCACTGACTAGCTCTCTATGTCCGGACTACTAGTCCTGTTGTGCCTGTTGCGTTATAATTTAGCTTTCATGTCGTTCGAATGCTTGATAAATGGAACCGACTTTCACGACAGTTTTGTCAGTTCAATCAATAACGTGTTAAGAATAAAATATCTTAAACATGTAATATCTTATTACATATTAAATTTATTAAATGCTGTTCTTTAAACATGTAATGTCTTAATATATAATCTATCGATATATATAAATGAAGATTTCTATTTGATTAGTTGTCAGAACAAAATTATAAGTCAGACGCTTGGGGTGAGTTTCACCCAGCTTTGCAGGGTGACCAATGGTGGTGCGGGCCTGCTGTAGGCAGGTCAAGGTTAGCCCTATGTCCCCTTAAAGTGGAAATGGATCGCATTGCGACCACCGTGAAGTCATTATCAAATGAAGGCGCCAAGCTGAGGAGAGAATGTAGCACGCGACCCCCAAGAAGTCCTCTGAGATGGAATTTTTTTTTCAAAGTTTTTCAGCTGTTCATAATATTGCACATTCTGATGGCAGATTTTCATTCTGGAGGCTCTGAACGCCTTTTGGGTCGACCCGGGCACCGCCGGGTACCCCCACATACTATTTTATAATACACTCACAATTTAAGTGATAACATAATTAAGTTTTCAAGAACAGAGGAGTTCAAGAGACTGTAGGAACAATGTTCACAAACCGATGTTTGCTTTTTCGTTTTAAATATAAACTTATTTAGTTAAAATAACAGGTTTTGTGTCCTGAATGGGCTCATATATTTAGCAAGCTATTTACATCGCCAAGTTCAACCTTATTCAATGCTTTATTGGAGAATATATCTACATATTTTTAAGTGCTCTTCATGGGGGTAATTTTCTACTGTCAGGGCTTGACTTAAGTCATCTTCTTATGTGGCTTATCCAGGCTTCCTGGTAGCAGGCTGAGAGCTTTCCTGTACCATAGTTCGTGGTAAGCCTTATACCCTCTTTGTTTTCCCTGGAACACGATCCAACAATCGGTTTACAGTCAGGTTCCTAATTACTGCTGAGTGAACAGGGGGAGGACAGTTAAGGATTAGCATTTAGTCAATCCATCCTGGATAGGGTTCAAAACTAGTTGAAATTGCTACTAGATATACGATATCTACTGCTCAAGTATTACTCTCTGCTCTGTTTCATGTTCTGCCTTGGCCGCTTCAGTGTTGTGTAGCCAACCCGTCCTCGACTCAACTCCATTCCATCCAGCGGTCGACCCCAGAGAAGCATTCATAAATGTTAACATGCTGTTCATTCAAAACGGGAATTTTCTCAAAAATAAATTAATATTATAATATATTAGCATATTGAGCATATATAGGCATAGGTTAGGTCAGGTGTTTAGGCTCTGTTGGCGATTATTTGTATTTGTAGTACGTGGGTGAAGCATTTATAGCGTTGCGGTTCGAACAAAATTCGTCAGTGAAGCATTTGTTCCGGAAGTGTTCGAACGAAATGAGTTGTGAGTCGTGTGTAAACCGTTTTTCATTCATAAACAGCGGGGGTTTGGCGGGTGCATGGAATCACTTTTGGGTCTTTGTTTGGAGGACGGGCTGCGTATCTGGAACCTCTGTTTAGGTTTTGAGTCGTCGAACTTTACACTTGTCTGCGCTGGACTGTGTTTTAACATTTTGAGTTCATATTTGCACGGAAAATCCTGTGAGCCAATCACAGCAGTCGTTGTGTAAGCCAATCACAACAGACGTCGTGTAAGCCAATCACAACTCACGTCGTGTAAGCCATTCACAACAGTCGTCGTGTAAGCCAGTCACAACACACGTCGTGTAAACCAATCACAGCAGACGTCGTACGTATAAGCCAATCACAACAGACGTCCTGTAAGCCCATCACAACAGGCAACAATCCTGTAAGTCAACCACAACACACCATGGGCCAGATTCACGAAGCAGTTACGCAAGCACTTACGAACCTGTACATCTTTTCTCAATCTTTGGCGGCTGTGTTTCCAATTATTAAACAGTTAATGAACTCCGAAGCACCAGGAGGCTGTTTATAACAATAACAACAGTTGAATGGGAAGTTTTCATGCTTGTAAACTGTTTAATAAATGTAACCAAAGCAGTCAAAGATTGAGGAAAGATGTACACGTTCGTAAGTGCTTGCGTAACTGCTTTCGTGAATCTGGCTCCATGCACCTGGGACCCCCAAGTGTTTAAATCCCTCAAAATAGCATTTTTCTCCAAATACCCACCAAAACTCTTACTAAAATTAAAAAATATATATCAAACTGCAGGCAGTTGGTCTATACTTACCCACGCGACCTAATGTACCCCCCAACACAGTTGCCAATTCAACCACACGATCAATACACGACTGAAGAAGTCGGAAAGACCTCACGTGGTCAAATAAAGAAATCATGTTTTGGCAACAACTCACCATGCGTTTAGGGAAGGGTGGAGGGGAGGGGGAGGGGGCCCATTAACTAGGGGTGGAGTTAATGGTCATAGCGGGCCATTAATTACGGTGGAGTCAATCCGCATACTTACAGAAACGCAACACATTCGTAACTACTAACACACACAGTGATAAACAAACACGGCTGACCGCACCGATCTTACGGTATTCGTACGCGTTCCCTCACCCTACAATAGGCTACGCAAGGTAAAGTAACCGCTAGCCAGTATGATCCAAAACCTGCATCGGAATCAGCAGTGTGACGTCACAGTGACGTCACACACCGCGCCAAATAGAAAATACACAAATCTATTTCTCATTTTCGTTAGGAAAGGTTGCGTTGGGTTGGTTTAATGAGTAGCGATGACGTAGATGGGAGCATACTTTTCTCAGGTCTTAAGCCACTACTCTCCCTAACTGCGTATAGGGGGGAAAAGAGCCGTGATTGAAAACTTGAAAGGGCTTGTCGAGGGCCGTGATTGGTCATAAGTGACGTTACGAAACAGTCGTAAAGGCGAAAATTCCTTTAGTTCATTTATTATGCACCCCATACCCTTCCTGTGAATGGTAGTGGACCCCATACCTATCCTGTGAATGGTAGTGGACCCCATACCCTTCCTGTGAATGGTAGTGGACCCCATACCCATCCTGAATGGTAGTGGACCCCATACCCTTCCTGTGAATGGTAGTGGACCCCATACCCATCCTGTGAATGGTAGTGGACCCCATACCCATCCTGTGAATGGTAGTGGACCCCATACCCATCCTGTGAATGGTAGTGGACCCCATACCCATCCTGTGAATGGTAGTGGACCCCATACCCATCCTGTGAATGGTAGTGGACCCCATACCCATCCTGTGAATGGTAGTGGACCCCATACCCATCCTGTGAATGGTAGTGGACCCCATACCCATCGTGTGTGGTGAAGGGTTATAGATGCATATGATAGCCTCAGGGACTGAACCCCCAAAGTTCATCCGGCTCACTACGTAGTAGTAGTAGTATAATTTAGTATGTATTTATATACATATTAAATTATATATAGTAATAAGGCAATTAGTAAAATTGAATATTACCACATGTGGGACAAGAATTGCGTTTTTAAGGACCCGATAGCAGTTCAAGGGTTAATGGTAGCTGGTCGGCCGAGCGGACAGCACACTGGACTTGTGATCCTGTGGTCCCGGGTTCGATCCCGCGCGCCAGCTAGAAACGATGGGCAGAGTTTCTTTCACCCTATGCCCCTGTTACCTAGCAGTAAATAGGTACCTGGGAGTTAGTCAGGTGTCACGGGCTGCTTCCTGGGGGTGGAGGCCTGGTCGAGGACCGGGCCGCGGGGACACTAAAGCCCCGAAATCATCTCAAGATAACCTCAAGAAGAATAGCCTGGGGGCCAGATTCACGAAGCAGTTACGCAAGTACTTACGAACCTGTACATCTTTCATCAATCATTGACGGCTTTGGTTGCATTTATTAAACAGTTTACAAGCATGAAAACTTGTCAATCAACTGTTGTTATTGTTATAAACAGCCTCCTGGTGTTTCGGAGCTCATTAACTGTTTAATAATTGTAAACAAAGCCGCC